GGGGGGGCCGCGGGCATCTGTGGGTAGCCGATACACATGGGAGTTCCTGCATATACCGTCTCTCACCTGCCCCCCTCACCCTCCATGCTGCTGCCTCTATTAGAGGCAGCAGCGTGGGGGGAGGGGGTGGAGGCAGGCAGTGCTGTGAGATTTGGTGCTCATGGGCAGCTGGCTTAAAAGCTGGCTCCTGCCTTCCCCCCACCCTGCCTTGCTGCCTCTGATCTGATAGAGGCAGCAAAGGGGGAGATGCATGTAGTCAATAGGTTTAACTGATAAGTCCAGGCTTATTAGATAATTGTGTAGTCACTCACATTTACATCCCTAGTCTTGAGTATATTAAGCTACTCCCATTTATCTCAGTAGGTGCTGAGTGACATTGATTTAAGAATCCAGGAAGGCATGACATTTTAAAGCCTCCTTGTTTCCCACTGAACTGTCAAACATTTACTTAGTGTTGATGCAAAAATCTGATATTAAACCAATTATTTTAAGTGGCCCCACGTTTTAAATTCAGTTTTACTGCAAATTAAATTACACAAGATATTATTCTGATTGGCGTGGAAGAGTAAAAAGCTTAGAAGCAACACTGTTCTTTGGAATTCTGTTACATCCTTGCAGTGTAAGTGTATTTCATATAAGATTATTTTCCAGACTTTAAAATAGAGCTCTAGCTATCTCCTGCAGTTCAAAACTATAAAAATATTAGTAAAAACATAAAAATGGCCATATTGGGTCAGACCAATGGTCCATCTAACCCTGCTATCCTATCTTCCAGCAATGAAGCATCTGGCATTGACCAAAGAAAGAACAATACAATGCAACTACAAAGTAATCCATCCCCTATTATATAGCCCCAGCTTCTAACATGCAGAGATTTAGGGACACGTAGGCTGTGGGGTTGCATTCCTGAGTGTTGGTGCTAATAGCCATTGTTGGACCTTTCCTCCATGAATTTATCTAATTCTTTTTAGAACCCATTATTCTTTTAGCCTTCCACTCACAAGAAGTTCACAAGTTGACTGTGCATTGTGTGAAGTACTTCCTTATATTGGTTTTGAGCCTGCTTCCTATTCATTTTGTTGAGTGATACCTAGTTCTTGTGTTATGTGAAGATACAAATAATACTTCCTTACTATCCAAACTGTTTAGGATAGTCAAGACAGAAGCAGATTGTGAGGGACTCCAAAAAGATCTCAACAAACTGAGTGATTGGGCAACAAAATGGCAAATGAAATTTAATGTGGATAAGTGTAAAGTAATGCACATCAGGAAAAATAACCCCAACTATACGTACAGTATGAAAGGGGCTAATTTGGCTATGACAAATCAGGAAAGATCTTCGAGTTATCGTGGATAGTTCTCTGAAAACTTCCACACAGTGTGCAGTGGCGGTCAAAAAGGCAAATAGGATGCTAGGAATTATTAATAGTGATAGAAATGTAGCCGTGTTAGTCTGGGGTAGTTGAAGCAAAATGCAGGACAATGTAGCACTTTAAAGACTAACAAGATAGTCTTGTTAGTCTTTAAAGTGCTACATTGTCCTGCATTTTGCAGGAATTATTAAGAAAGGGATAGAAAATAAGACACAGAAGATCTTACTGCCCCTGTATAAAACTATGGTATGCCCACATCTTGAATACTGTGTACAGATGTGGTCTCCTCACCTCAAAAAAGATATTTTGGCCTTGGAAAGGGTTCAGAAAAGGGCAACTAAAATTATTAGGTGTTTGGACGGGTCCCATATGAGGAGAGGTTAAAGCGACTGGGACTCTTCAGTTTAGAAAAGAGGAGGCTGAGGGGGGATATGATAGAGGTATATAAAATCATGAGTGGTATGGAGAGGGCAGATAAAGTTATTGATTAGTTCCCTAAATAGAAGAACTAGAGGACACCAAATGAAATTAATGGGTAGCAGGTTTAAAACTAATAAAAGAAAGTTCTTCTTCACACAGCGTGTAGTCAACCTGTGGAACTCCTTGCCAGAAAATTAGAAAGCCTAATTCGAGCTACCTACTCCATGCCGCGTGTAGCCACGGGCACGGAGTCCAAACTACCGGGGCTTTAAAAATGGCGGCGCCCGGCAAGATGCAAATGAAGACCGGGATATTTAAATCCCGGGCTTCATTTGCAACTTCAGTTGACTACATTAACCACCCTAGTTCGAACTAGGGTGGTAGTGTAGACATACGCTAACAGAGTTTAAAGAGAAGCTAGATAATTTCATGGAGGTTAGGTCCATAAAAGGCTATTAGCCAGGGGATAGTATTGGTGTCCCTGGCCTCTGTTTATCAGAGGCTGGAGAAGGATGGCAGGAGGCAAATCGCTTGATCATTGTCTTCGGTCCACCCTCTCTGGGGTACCTGGTGCTGGCCACTGTCGGCAGACAGGATACTGGGCTAGATGGACCTTTGGTCTGACCCAGTACGGCCGTTCTTATGTTCTGTTTTTATGTTACTCACTTTCCCCACATCAGTCATGATTTTATACATCTATCATAATCTCCACTTACTCCTCTGAGTTCTTTTATGGTGAAAGGTCCCAGTCTCTTTTAATCTTTCCTCATATGGAAGCTGTTCATACATCCGATCACTTTTGTTTCCCTTCTCTGCACCTTTTCCAATTCTAATATCTGCTTTTGAGAAAAGGCATTCTGAACAGTACACAGCACTCAAAATATGAGTGTACCATGGAGTTATATAATTTTCCATTATGATATTTTTCTGTTTAGTAAGATAGACTCTGAGCATAACCACATCTGCTTCCTTTGTAGACTAGCATGCAAAGTAGATCTGTAGTAAAGGAGATGTAGGAAAAAAAATTCCAACTGCAAGAGTTGCTAAGCTCTGAAATGAGCTTCCAGGGGGTGTTTTGGAATTTCCCATCTTTGGAGGCTTTTAAGAACAGGTTGGATAAACACCTCTCAGGGATGTGTTATGTCCTGCTGCAGCAATGGGAGATGGACTTCATAGTTCTTGAGGTCTTCCAAGTCCTTCATTTCTATGTATTTTCCACTCTCCCTTGCCCTCTAGAGTACTTCCGGTATATAGCTAGAATATCTGATTCATCAAGATGTTTATGTATGCACAGATCACTTCTGGGATATGTTTTTGGTCAGTAGTACCCATGAGGGCAGTGCATATGCACTAAGTGTCAACATGCCTTCAGCTGAGAACATACAGGGCAGGACTCCCCTCTGCCTTGACCTCTCTCTCCTCTTCACCCCTCCAAAGCCCCCAGTTCTCTCACTGCCTGTGGCTCGTAGAGGCTATGGTTGGAGGTATGAGGACACTCAAGGTTCATGTGCTGCCTCAGTGCTTACTGCTGACACAGTCTCTGGCTTGAGTGCACTGAGTTCATGCATGCATAGAGTAGAATATATATACAACACATCTTTTAAAAAAAAAAAAACCCTGATGGTATAGGTAAGTAATCATTCTTTATTTAAGTGGGATCTTTCTGTCTTTGGTATTTCTGGGCTATCTATCACCTTGGTGTTGTAGCATTCTGACTTAAATACACACTAGGAGCAATGATTCAGGAGTTTTGTAATACTTAAGAATAAGGATTATAGTTAACTTTCCCTCCAAGTTCCAGGGCACGCTCCCCCCCCCTCTTTTTTTTAAAAGTACTGAAATTTCATCCCTGTAAATAGACTTATTTTCTGGTGTCCTACATCTTGGCTAAAGTTCAAATTTATATTTCACGGGGTTTTTTTTGTTTTTGTTTTTGGTTTTGTTTTTTTTACAGGCATTACGAGTAATGGCCAAAATTATGCGTGAATGTTGGTATGCTAATGGAGCAGCAAGGCTAACAGCTTTACGCATTAAGAAAACATTATCACAGCTCAGTCAACAGGAGGGCATAAAAATGTAATCCTGGATTTACTACTGAAGTGCACTTGAAAGATCCATATCTGAACCTGGATGGCATGTACAGAAGGTTATTAGCTCTACCTCACCGAGGGAACAGAAGGATATTGCCGCCTTTTGATATTTTATAGGAACATCAGTTACTAGCCCCAGGATTTCTGTGAACGTGATACAGGTGATTGGGTCTTTTTTGTGCACTATGAACACTTCTTTCCCAGGACACTTACAAAACATTGTGTAGTCTAGCTTTATTTTTATTAACATGTAACTATTTTAAAAGTTGATTACTGGTCTTAACTTTCATTAACTGTGCTGAAGACATGAAGATGGTTTTTAAGGTATTGGAGCTGGTTCACAAAATTGCATACAATGCATTGAGGGGTCTTAAGTGATTTTTATTAGTGGTTGGTACAACTGAGTATTCTGAACCCCACTGCAAGCTTTTTCTTTTATTCAGGTTTTGAATGTACTATTGCAGTATAACTTTCTAGATATTAAGCTTACATCTATTGGACACCTACCTTGATTTACAAAAATGACCTCATTCAGTTGTGGGGAACATAATTTATGCAACTATATTTTGTACGCTGTTGTGCTTTCACTTATTCAGCACATTGCATTGCCTTCAACATAGATTGTACTATACCAGTAAGTGCCACTTCGGAGTCTTTCTAATGCAAATCACTATGAACATACAAAGTTTATGGTACTTATCATTTCAAAACTGAATTCAAAAATTGAATTATTCCTTAGCTTAATGACCTAATTAGCACTCTATTTGGCATGTAGCAACATTATTCTTGGAATATCTTTCTTTCAGCAAGATCTGATTCTTAAACCACTGTAGGAATTTAAATGGTATGCAAGTTATCTAATTCAGTGTTATGTTTTTTAACTGTGCATCATATGTATAAGTTCTAATAACATCTAAGAATTTTTAATTAAGTGGCATTTTATTAAAATGTTTGTCATACTCTTGTCTAAACTAGCAAGAGGACTAAAGGTTTTTAAGATAAAAGTTTTACTCTTTGCATTCTACACTTGCAAGAAATCTATTTTTCAGTTTCTCAGTCTTTCCTTTTTTCTTCTCCTTGAACAGTATTATTTGAAAAGACAAGAATTAACTTAATCTGTAATTAAAGATGATTATTTGTAATATTTGGGCTTGTTTTAATTAAGAAGCTAAAAGCTGCTCTCAAATTATGCGTGCATATGCTATGTGTATCTTACATACACAAAGTAGTAAGCTTAAAGACTTTGGATACACACCCATAGAGTTCTGGTGTCCTTGTTATAATTGCAAGAACAAAGAGTTTGTGTTGTCATTAGAACTCTGGGGAAAAAATGTGCACAGATTTACTCAACCTTCACATCTCAAACAAGTATATCTTTTCACAGGATTTTAACAAACTCTTAAGATACAGGCTGTATCCCTTTCTGTCTGAATGTCTCTTAAAATTGTTAAACACATGAAATATAAAAAAATCCAGGAATCATCTTTGCCCTGAAACTAGGTTTTTAACAATTACAAATATCTGCTTGAGTAGCAGGTATTTGTTTGCTGTTGACTTTACTAATGCATAAAAAAGGGTGAATTGATATATTGCCCAATTTTAATGAAGATTATTATGAAGACATATACAGGTGAATGATATCCTAAAATGCATAATAGCAATATTGTGAATAAGCCTATGTGTATTTTGGGTTCAGATGACATCACAAATAGTTTGTTCTTGTGCTTACAATCTGAACACCTTTTATTAAATGGGTGTGTCCGGATATTATATTTTATGTTACTTGTGTAAAAATTGCATATGTGCACACAGACACATTAATATTTTTTAAAATTAAACTTGTAAATCATCAGATCTGCTCTTGGAAATCCAGGGGGACCAAACTATTTTAGCATTCAAAATATTAATTTTATATCATCTCAAGGATATACCAAAACAATTTGATATGAGAAATACTGATGCAAATGTTTATTGTAAATAAACATACACACTACATGCATTTCTTCAAGGTTCATGTATGTTATTAAATTGACAATTTAGTAGCACTAAAGCCTCACTTCAGATTATAGGCATGGCCAGATGGTTATGGACATACATAAGAAGGATTGTTGGGAATGGACTAGTACTGAAAAGACTCGCATCCTTTTTTGGATGCTGGAATTCTTCAGGGACTCTCCAACCTTGAAAGCTGGAATTCTGGGATATTTTAGAAGCAATTTATTCAGCGCTCACATTCTTTTGCCCCCAAACTAAATTACATTCACTTGTAATCCTAATGAGGACTTTGTATATAGGGATAATAACATTGGGATTGACTCTGTGGGGACATTAAGCTATCAAGTGAAGTAAGAGGCTATTTTTTTATTTTATTTTTTTTACAAAATAATTGTGAGTTGAGTGCCATGAAATCTCCTTAAGTTAGCTCCTTGTTTATAGTGTGCCATAGAAATGGTTACAAAGGTGTTGACATTATTTTACATGTAAAAGAAAAGATTCAATGTCAGTTGCTTTAAACTTAAATTACCTCTTAAAAGACCAAGGTACATTTACCTCATTGTGTATATAATGTTTAATATTTTTCACAACATTCTCCAAGTTTGCAATTACATGTTTCTAGAAAATATAGGTATTGCTAAATTTACAACTTCAGTGGTACTAACTATTGTTTCTTGTGTCCAAAATACACACTTTATTTTCTGTATTTTTATTGTATTTCTGTAAGTTTGTTGCTGCTTGTTAATGTAGCATCTGCCCTTCTGGAGCTGTGTGGAATAATGCTTTGTATAAATTCTGCATTTTGGGTGATAAAACTTGAGAATCCTGTACAGATGAGTTTGATGTTTTTTTAAACGTTACAAAATTGTGCATTTCCCTTACATTTCTGAAAACTATGTATTGTATTGGTAGCGTATACAGTACAATGGATTGTAAATAGGAAAGTAGAAGAGTGATGCTTATGTTAAGTGCTAACACTACAGTAGAAAGATTCAAGTAATGAAAATAAACTACTTTTTTCAAAGTAGGTAAGTGATCTGTCTTGTCTTTCAAAGGAAAAAGTGGAAATATTCAAAATGCAATAGTTGGAGAGGAGACTGCTCTGATTTACTATGGTCACGTTATGCCACTTAGTGGTGTAAATCGGGGCAAATTCCCTTTGTGTAAGGAAAAATCTGCTGGCATAAGGGTGGCAGAAATCGCTTGAAAATGCTTGTGCCAACTACTCCCTACCCTGGCATAAGAGAAATGAGGGGGTTTCTGAACCTGCACCACCATAACTGACTTTAAGTACCTTGTACCAGTGATAGATGTTTAGAGTATGTTCCTGATGTCTTGTCTACTGCAGATGAGTGACTGCATTAGAGGTTGCCACTCTCCTCTATGTCCAAGAAATAATGAGGAAATTGGCTAGGCTTGTAGCTAACTGTAGTGGAAGGTTTACCACATTCAAAAGTGAAATGGACTGTTTGGCGTACTGCAAACACCACTAATAGGGATTAAGCTTTCTTCCCTGTGCAGGAAATAAGTATTTTATACACAGGTTCTCAAACTGTAATTCACTTAACTAAGGATGCTCTAATGGATTGTTGCTTTACAAAACTCATTTTATAAGCCAATATTCCAGCTTGCAAAGATGGAACATAGGTGCAACCACAGGAGAAACTTTTCAGAATACATGGCAAAGCACCAGGAGGCTCAATCAACTAAGTATGCCTCTTGGCCTCAGCCTCCACCTCCACCATATATTTATCTATTTATTCCAAAATTTCTTTCTAACTCCCATTTTATAGCCAAGAACTTCTTACACTCCTGCCTCTCAACTGTGAAATGTTTCTCAAACAGATAACTACCTAAGTTCAAATGCTGTCTCTTGTTGGGATGGAAACATAGTTATTATCCTACTGGAACACACCCAAAGCATCTAGTTTAGAATCTGGACAATGGCAAGAACTATGTACTTCAGAAGAAGGCATAATTAGCCTGGTGCAGGCAGCTGTAGGATAATCTCCCTCCTGAATAGGTGTCATCCTGATCTTCAGTAATATGCTTATGATCTGAAGCACTTCTAAACTTTCATAATTATAACAATTGATATTCTTGGTCAATATAAATATCCAGTCCCTTTTATGACTATTGTTAATCTTTGAGTAGCAGCCCTATCGGTGCTCTATTTCAGCTGTGCATGTGCCTCTTGAGTCTTCGATCAGATTTTTCATTGGCAATGTCTGTTCAGCCCACACATGTATCCTATACATATTCATGCTGCACGATGAGGCTTTTTAGGGCTACAGGCAAACTGCCCTCTCAGTTCCTCTTCAATTGTTTTGGATGGCTGACTTCCAGCAATTTCTGCACTTCAGAATGAGTAACAGTTGCTCTTCAAATACCACGTGAAGAATTCAAGGATTTTCAACACAAGTTGCTCAAAATTTACAATCATCAACACCATCCAAAGTGAGAGTGGCAAACAGCTACTGTGATTGTTAGTTTGCAAACAGGCTGATAAATATTATGTTCCCTCTAATGATGCTGACTTCTCCCAGTGAACAAGCAGTTAAGCAAGTCTACCTCCTATGACAAAGACCAAAAGTGCTTGTACTTCTTTGCACAGAAATCCTGCTCACCCACTGCCCTGCAATTCCAGATGGCAAAATATCATGCAATCACAAACTGTCCAGAGATCTCACCCAGTTCAATTCTATAGCTTGTCCTGTACTTTCAATGACTGGCTGATCAAGAGTGGATCATAGGCAGCAGTATCGACATCCATTTAGATAGCCATTTCCTTTTTCCTGCCATTAGATATAAGAAAACCTACATTAACCCTTGACTGTCAAGGATGCCCCTATAAATTCCTATTTTCTGTAAAGGTGTTAATGTGGATTTCCTTATTTTTAGCTGAAGACCCAGTGGCAGGAAAAGAAATGGCCATCTTAACGGATGATAGTATTGCTGTGCATGATAAATCCTTGATCAGCCAGTCGTTGGGGCATGACTAGTGTTCAAATTTTGTAGTTTTATAATGTAGTTAGTGTCATTTAGTGGATCTATTGGCTTCCACTTGTTCTGGGTACTGACCGTCTACTGAGGTGTATGGCTCAGTCTCCAGGCTTTAAGTCTTGCAGCAGCTACGGGACATCTATGCTGGAGAGTGACCCTCATTCTCAGAGATTAAATTGCCTCAGCAAGGGTCACATTTGGGACAGGAAGCAGATCTGTAGGGACTTGAAGCCCTGAACCAAAAAAGACAGAAGTGAGGGCCTATCATCCTCAGACTGCCTGCTTGGAGTGGATACTAAGTACGTCTAAGGAATGCTTGTTCACATGTTGCTGAGTCTTAGCACTGCTCTCTGTACCCAGTACCAATAAAGAAACCATCAGCAAGACCCTTCAAAGGACTTGTATCACAAAATATGGGGGTCCCTGCCACCACATCAGCAAGCATCCTAGGAAATGAAGCAGAACGTCCTGAGAGATGCTGGTGTGGATAACTGATACTGTTAAAACTGCTCTGGAGTGCAGACCAGAGTACTTGATCCCTTTGCAGCAGCAGACCCTCTTGGTACTGACAATACTGGAGGCATACACTGCAGTGCAAGATTTACTATGACTTTTGGTACCAGATTCTCTGGTGGTGCAGGTGTCATCTACTCTGAGACCAGCATATAAGCAACTTGTTATAGTTGTTCATCCCTGGTTATGTGAGTCTTCTCTATTCCATCCAGCCTCTTCTTAATTGGTATCAGGAGGCAAGCCCAGCATGTTCTCTTGTGCCTATATTTCCAGAGAGGCACTGCCAATCTATGGCACTTCCCTGGTCAGCAGACACAGCCTCTTCCTTGGAGACACAAGTTGGGTCTTATGCCCCTCACTACTGGGACAGAAGGCATTGTTCACCTTCATTGAGAGGGTTGCATTTCTGATCCCTAAAAGGCCTTACTGGTCCAGTGACTTACCTCTCTGCTAGAGGGACTGGTAGAGGTTGGGTTTCCAACCGTTGGGTGGTTCCAGTCATCCTTACTGGAACCCTCCAGATCTTTGGGAAGAAACTTGGGAAGTTGATCCATGTACCAACATTGGTATCATGCAAGACCAAACTCACTTGCCAGAGCCTCCTGGGGAAAAGGCTCAAGAAATTCTCAGCCATCTGTGTAAGCCTCCTCAACATCACCATATGAAGTGATGAAGTTTTGGGTGTCTTCTCTAGGATGACTACAGGACATACCAGGACCTACTAAAGAGGCTGCTTCCTCATTGGAGACACAGGCAAAGGAAGTGCAAGAATTCTCCAATATAAAGGTCCTTCTTACCCAGTCTGTGTTTCTGTGAATAAATAAGGTCATGCTGGAGGACACAAATGTGGCATATCTCTGCAGTGAACAGCCGTGAAAGCCAAATGGAAACACCATGTACCTTTTCATAGTCATGGGCATTTTTATCTACAACCCTGCCTTCCCTTGCTCATTTCATTCATTGCTGAGACCGCAAATGAAATGCCAGGGTCAATTCTTGTCCACCCTTTTCAGTAGAAAGGTTTAATCTACTGCTAGCTTGCAGTTTCAGATCTCAAACCAGCAAGCCTTGTATAACCAGGTAGCGATAGAACATGATTGCAACATAAGTTAGGACATATAACCCTGATTGTGTCTCTCCACTTTACTCATTTTCCTCAAACCTTGCTTGGTTATTGTCAAATCTGTTTTTTAGGAAATTGATTTTTGAGCCAACTTACGTTACAACCCATCAGCAAGCATCTTCTCTAGGCTACACCTGTACTAATGTTCTTCATCGAGTAGTGTCCCCGAGGGTGCTCCACTCAAGGTGCTGGGCTTGTCCCGGCGCCGCAAACCGGAGGAATTTTCACTAGCAGTAGCCCCCCTACCGGACCGCGCATGCGCGAGTGCCCCTTCGTGCCTTTCATCTGAGCGCGGTCTGGTCTTGTCAGTTTCTCTCCAACCGTCCGCAGCCACAGACGGAGTTAGTTTAGGCTCCCTTCCCCTCTCCGAGGAGAAAAGGAAATTTCCTAGTTATAGTTAGTTGATTGGTTTAGTCATAGATAGTTATCTGTTATACTGTTTCTAGTTGTAATTCCCTTCTTTTTTTTCCTGGTTTAAAAAACAAAAAAAACTGTTTTTCTTCAGTGGCCAGTCCGTGCCTTCCTGAAATTGATTAACAGACTGATTAAACAGTAAAGGACTCAAGGATGCCAGGATCACCTGGCTTCAAGAAGTGCCTCCAGTGCCAGGAGGCTATCCCCATCTCAGATGGACACTCCTGGTATGTCAGATGTCTCGGGGACGCTCGTGTCCCAGCGAAGTGTGCCCACTGCGCGAAGATGACAGCTCGCGCCAGAAAGGATCGGGAGCTGAGGTTGAGAGTCCTTTTGTTTAAGAAGGCTCTCCAAGCTCCTGAGGTCTCCAAGCCACGCTCTGCATCTACTGGGCATGCTGGGCAAGCCCGCAAGATCCACGGGACGCCGGGCGGCACTGCGGACAAGTCAGGGAGCTCTGGCTATGTGCCGAGACTCCCCGCGGACAAGGCGGGCAAGGGCCGTAGCTCTTCTGCCCCAACTGCAGCCTGCCCCAAAAGCTCCGCTCCGACACCCAAGAAGGGGTCGTGAGTGGAGTCGGTGCCAGCAACGGCTTTAACGGCCATTGCGGAGCCGGCAAGAGAAGCCCCGGCACCAGGAGTTTCAGCACATGCGCGGCCAGAGACACCTGTGTTGGCACCCGCAGCGCCTTCCCTAGGTGCCGCTCCGGGCTCCTCGGTGCCGGGCATATCAGCACCGGATGCACTGCCGCAGCAGGAGTCTCTGCCAGCCCAGTCTCCTGATTTCACATTCCCGGCTGATCAACCTGCACCGAGCCTTTACTCTACCGACGTTCAAGTGGCAGAGGCTTCTTCACTGCCTGCTGTTCTGCCACAAGCACCTCCTTAGTCTGCCTGCAATGTCTCGGTGCCAACCAAAGCATAGCAAAAATCTGCAAGGGTCCGGACTCCGTCACTAACGCCGGACCGTGTCAC